TTGCAACTTTTTTTCTGCTCTTTGTGACTTGCTGTTTCACTCTTTACTTCTATTCATCTTTTGATAAATAGAAGTTTTTAATTTAGATACAATCAAACTTTACATGTTTTTCCTTGATGGTTACCACTTAACTGCTGTTTAAGAAATCACTTATTATCTCTTAAGTTTTCTCTTTAACAAAATTGGAGAAGAGGGTGGAACAGGTTCTGCCTGGAAGCGGGGGGCTGGAGGGTTGGAGGTGTGGGGGGTAGTGGGGAGAGGTGACACAAACAATGTACACACATTTAAGCAAATGTAAAAATGATTAAATAAAAGGAGAAAAAAGAGAAATCACTGTGTATCTCAAAGTTAAAGACATTTTCTTTGAAAGCCTTATTGTTTTATCTTTCATATTTAGATCTACAATCCCCAAGATGATTTTTGTGTATATTGGAGTCAGGATTCACTTTTATCCTCAAATGGATGTATAATTCACTCAACATCATTTAGTAAAGAAATTGTCCTTTACCCCCTGCTCTGTGCTGTCAAACTACATAATTTACTGTCATGATTTGTGTGGATTTGCTTTTGGGCTGTCTATATGTACACATACTCGTCTATCTTTGTACCTATTATTCATGGTCTCGGTTACAAAAGCTTTCAGATTAATTTTGGTGTGTTTTTCTCTAATGTTACCTTGGCTAATCTTGGGCTTTTAGATGTCTGTTAACTTGCTATTTTTTATATCTAAAAATTCCCCAAAAATCAGAATACTGGAATTTTTAATGTGATTACACTGAATATATGGACCCAGTTTGTAACATTAAGCCTTTCAATCTATGAGCATTAGGTATCTCCCCATTTATTTGTTTGCATTATTTTCTCTAGTTTTATTATTTTTTGGTTTTTGATATAGAGATAATAAATATCTCTTGTTAGATTGATTGATTATAGGTACCTGACATTTTTATTTTAAGTGTTACAATATTATTTATGGTAGCATAATTGACTTTTGTACAGTGACCCTGAATTCAATAGTTTTGCTATGTTTGCTACTTAAATCTAACAATTTTATATGTGGACTCTTTTCAACCATTATTTTAATTTTAAATGTATTCCATTATTCATTAAAAGAAATAATTAAAATTATTTTCATTGTATTTAAAACAAAATTTGAATTTTTGTTTTTAAATATCAATTGAATGATAATATTTATATTCATGTAAAAATAAAAGTTGGATTCTAGATTTAGTATGAGATAGCACAATAAATTTGAATAGATGCTAGAAAAAGTGAAATTGCCTCTTCTCTGCTTTCATACACATAATAATCTTAAGTAAATGAGTTTGCTAATCTGGTCTTTTAGTTTTCTCATCTGCAAAATAGTAACATTGGGCTAGATATGTTTTCATTCCTTTTAAACAAGAGTTGGTTTGTTGTGATGGTTGTAATTTTATACTTTTTCCTTTTCTTCTGCTCTTCTATTGGTGGTCTTGTGATTTCAGGGGTAACAGGCCTTGCGGAGGGTAGTAGGTGGGACCAAGCCCCACTTAGTACTCGTATTTTCCCAGCTCAGGATACTTGAGACCTTTGGTATCCCCTGTACACCTCACTTTGGCTGCAGAGACAATGGAATTCAATGTCAGGTTCATCTTTTTACTCATTTCCCTCCTCTCAGACCTCCTATCTATACCACAGTGCTGAGGCACTCTTTCTCTGAGAATTTTGAATTTTCTTCAGTGTATTCCCTAAAAACCAATTTGCTGCTCCTAATGCTGTTATTATCTCCACACTACTTTCATGTTGGAGTTTGACTTAGAATGGAAATTAGTCTTTATGTTCAAGCTCTTCCTCTTCTGTTAGTTGAATCTCCATCACTGTGACAAAATACCTGAGGCAATCAACTTGTAAGGTTGTTTTCTGTGGGTGTGTCTTGTCTTCACATGGTGTTCTCTACTCTGTATCTACTTTTGTGTTCCCATCTCCCCATCTTGTAAGGACACAGTCATATTAGATTAAGGGCCCACTATAGTACAACTTCTTCTTAATTTACTGTATCATTGTGTCTGCTGAGATTCCATTTCCAAACAAGGTCACTCTCAGAAGTACCAGGGTAGAACTTCAACATATCCTTTGAAGAGAATTTAGTCTGTTTGATGCCTACACCTAGAGTTAGTTAGGGACTGTTGTAGGTCTGAATCAATTTATTTTCTTATCACTTCTCGTCATATATGTCAGACTCTTTCAAAATACTCTGTATGAGCTTCTGAGTCTATGACAGTATTCCTTAATCTATCCCATCAGGGACTCAACTACTGGAAAAATGCCTCCATATTTCATCCATTTTCATTTCAGTGTTTCTCTCAATGGTTCTCTTCTTTGACTTCCTCTGAGCATTTTAAGAGTTGTTGAGAACAAGGGCAATAGGTGCTATGACATATGAATAAATGAATAGAAAAATAGGTACTATAATTGAATATCATGTTAATCTGGTTTCCACATTTTTTATATTTCCAGTTCTTTCATAAGCATTTTTCCATCTCCCTGGAAAGACATACTGCCACTTTCCTGACTGTGTTGGTCAGCTGCTTCCTAATACTGTAACAAAATATGTGATACAGTTATAAAGAGAAAAGTTTTATTTTGGCTTGTTGTTCTGGAGGCATGCACTCTGACAAGTGTAACACATCATGGCTGGAAAACGTGGTAGAGCAAATGCTCACCTCATGAGCCAGGAAGTGAGGAGGTCGAGGACTGATGAGGGTGCCACCATCTCCTTTGGAGGCATGGCCCCCTAGTGTTGTAAGGACCTCATACTAGTCCCCACCACCTCCCAACAACACCACCCAGGGGACCACGCTTTTAACATATGGACCTTGAGAGGACATTCAACATCCAAACTAAGAGAAGATTGCTTACCAGACTTAGTCTTTCAAAATCCTCCTGTCTTGTGAAATTTTCTCAGATCAAACAGGATCAATTGTCAGACATGAGTACCAGTTCATCCATTCTAATTTTTTAGATTATTTTTTAAATGACCCTCCCTCATCTTTAATTTCTTGATACATATTTTTTCAATATGTTATACTGTTTTTTGCTATATGTTGTTTCATGCTAATATTTTCACCAGTTGTTTAAAGTAATTGTTCACTGATATGCCTCCTCCACTAAATCATACTTATCTTTTTCTGTTTTTGACATTACTGGGGTTTGAACTCAGGGCCTTGTGTTTGTTAGGCAAGTGCTCTACCACTTGAGCCATGCCTCCAGTCCTTTTTGCTTTTGCTATTTTTCAAATAGGGTCTCATAGTTTTTTTGCTCAGCCTTGCCACAACCATGATCCTTGTTTATACTTCTGTGTAACTATGATAATAGGCATGCACCACCACACACAGATTTTTGTGGGGTCTTTGAAATTTTTTGGCTGGGGCTGGCCTTATACATGATCCTCCCAATGTCTACCTCCCAAGTAGTTAAGATTACAGGCATGATCTACCAGACCTGTACTTTTCTTGTTTATTGCAGTTTGTCTAAAGTGTGTCAAGGGCTTGGCTCATGGTAGGAGCTGACTAGGTGTTTTCTGAATGGAATTGATTGTTCATGGGCCAGGTAGAGTAGACAAGGGCCAGACACTTTGAATACATCTTAAAGTATATCACAATATCCTGGGGGGCTCTTTCATATGAAAATCATAAGCAAAATTAAGAACCACTACAGTAGAACAGTTGGTATCTTACTAATAATCTTCCTGAAATACTATTCAGTCTTTTTCACCTGCTTGCCAAAGACTTAAAATAACCATTTTCTCTTTCATTGGAGTCTGAATAATAAATATGGAATTTAGGTAACGTCCAGTATGACATGATTTACTTATTCTGCTATGTGGATCACTAGGATATTGATTCTCAGTGTGGCAGTGAGATTTTTTTTTAAAGAGAAAGGTGCTAATCGTAGAGTTAATGAGGTTGCTATTTATAGTAGCGAATACTTGTTAGTGCTTAGCTTGATGATATGCTCTGCCCCTTACTATGTATTTACCTCATTTAATTACCATGTCAATTCTATGAGGTAGGAAGGATTACCATTCTCATATGAAAAATGAAAAATGAAGGCTTACAGAGTTTATTTTACTTGCCTAAGATCTAACAGATGGTAAGATGTAATGATTGCAGTTGTGATTATTCTGTAATGATTGCTATTGCCAGTTAATCAATGTTGTTTTTAAACATTAACATTCCTTCAGTCCAATAACTTTCTTAAGGGGTGAATTTAAAACTCTCACCCACCTGTGTGGTAGCCCTTTCTGGAAAGCTATTGCTGAGAATTGAATTTCTTATCCTACAATCTGAACATTCAGATAATGATGCAATAAAATCTTTTATGGGATACTCCTCAAGATTGTTATATGCTAAGGGAGGGAATAAGATATATTTTCATAACTTCTGACTTCTATAAAGTACTTTCCTCTTCATTTGCAGCACAGAAAAGCTTTGAAATTGCATCTCGTAAGGAGGGTAATCTGCAATTATTTACAGAGTCATCCCATAGTATCTCATTTTATCACTTCTGAGGAAAGACCCAAAATTTCATGACTATTTCTAAGCCCATAGTCACTAGCAGAGGGAGGAAATAAGTTTAGACAATTGCAAATTTCATTTCAGTCATTGAATTCCAAGTAAACATTCCTTCCCAACATGGTTTACATCTTGTTCTTTGAAATGATGTAAGCTAATGCCTTTCCTTGATCAAGTGCAAGTCTTGTTCCCATGTGAGAAAAGAAAAAGAAGCAAAGAAAACAGGCTGAGTCACCATGTTCTCAGTTGCAGGGAGAGGGAGGACCTTTGGGGAAGTTATTTGGCATTTAAAGCAAGTGGTTCCCGAGGCAGCTGCAGAATGGAGCAGAATATTTTGTTAAATGATTTTCTTCTTTGACCTTTATTACTAATGAATCTTCTCTAAGAAGCTTTTAAAGAGTAAAAAGGAAGGTTGTTTTTATTAATCTCCTTTTTCTTTGCCCACAGAACCCAAAGAAATGGTGTTACCTGGCAAGATATCTGCTATCTTTTATGAAAAATCAGACCAAGGTAGTAATGACTATTTCAACTTGATATTTTTTCAGTCTGTTTAACATGTGAAACTATTGACTTTTTTTTGATTACTGGTTGAGTGAGTCATCAAAAGAGCAAATTATTATCTGAAAAGCAGAGGAAAGGATTTCTGATGACTATCATATTTATGAAGTGAAGAGTACATTTAAAAATATATTATAGCTTATGAAAACATTGGGGGTTAATTTTGCTGCTACTTTCTCACTCACATTAATATGTGAACAGGATGTGGTTGAGAAGTATGCATTTTCTTTATTTGGAAATAATTCCAATTGGTGCATCAGTTTTGCAAATGACCGACAACATAGAGAATGAGACTTTTTAAGAACAGTGATGAGAGTTTTTCTTATTATTTAAGCATTATTCACATGGTTCCACATTTTGTTTTTTGAATATGTAAAAATTTCAATACAAATTTCTAGAAGACTTTATCAAGTTTCATGAAGATGCTCATACAAAACCCGTATTTTCTCTGGGAAGTTTGAATTATGTCATACAGTTGTTGAATAGCATGCCTGATTACACTTAACAGATTGAATATTTAGTTGCTAAATTTTCAAATTGCTATGTGATTTATTTACATATGTTGTCCTAAAAATATGAAAGCTCACGCAAATATTCTAATGACGTATGTGTGTAAACAAACTGTGAGTATAGATGCAGATATGCAATATGTGTATGTGTTATGAATAAAGCAACTACATTTTCTTTTTCTCGTTTTGGTGAGACTGGGGTTTGAACTCAGGCTTTCATGCTTGCAAAGCAGGCACTCTACCTCTTGAACCACATACCCAGTCCATTTTATTCTGGTTATTTTGGAGATGGGATCTGATGAACTATTTACTTAGGCTGACCTCAAGCCTCGATCCTCATGATCTCAGCCTTTCAAGCAGCTAGGATTACAGGTGTGAGCCACCAGTGCCCATAAAAGAGAATTTTACAGAAAAGTTGCTGATGGGTTAGAGTTGGGAAAGGAGCTATACATGTCATTGAGTACTACCCACTTATATAGCTATAATGTCACCACATGTATATGGACATATATATTATTTGAAATGTATTATTGACTGTGCGCTAATTAGAGCTGACTGAATTTTATTTTTAACTTATTGTTGAATTTTCCAAAATAAAATAAGTCCTGAAATAAAGATAGAATTTTACATGCAATGGACACCGTCAGTTGAATATTTGTTTCTTAACTTTGATTTTCAGTCAAGCAAATTGTGAAATTGAATTACAAACTGGGGTGTTTCTACTCATTCATCAAAGGAGATGTAAACCCCTTGAGTAAAGTTTATCACCCCTAAAGAAGATTATTTATTTGAATTGTAGGCATTCTATCTAAGTTTCATCGACACTAAAATATTAATTCTAGCTAAAATATTTTAAAATAGTTAACGAACTCAGTCGATAGTTGCCTTTTGAATAGAACCATTAACTCTGAGCTCCCAAAGAGAGACATGTTGATGAGAACAAACGCCTAGACAATATGCAGAAGAAGTTGAAACTGCATGGTATAAGCATGGGAAGAGAAGTGCAGACAAGTTCTTGTTGAAGGGAAATCAGTGAAATGTTACACAGTAGAGAAAGAAACACACTGAATAAGAAGCCAATGAGAATGTCATGAATACATGTGCTTTAGAATAAAACTAAAGAATGAGAGGAAGACAGACTCTCCCAGATGCATTCACGTGAGTTTTTTCTTTTCTCAGAGATACGTATATACTGCTATATTCAATTTATTATGTACTTATTTTAGATATGAATAAACTTATTGATGTGAATGTAGCATAGGAAAAGTTGGAGTTTTGGAGGGGAATTTCCATGAATGTGGTCAAATTTTGAGCATCTATGTGCCCAAGGTAACAAATTTTGCTTCTTTATATCATGAGAGTAAAGGAAGTATTCTGTATAGTACCAAAATACGAGTGCTTTAGTATAAAAAAAGCCCCCAAAGAGATTCTGATCTAGGACATGTGGCATTTGTGCCAGAATGAGAGCAGGGTGTGGGAGTACCTTGGAAACTGGTAGAGAAAATGGGTTCATGCCATCATTTCTCTAGGTTAGTTCTTTTGATTCACTTAATCAGAGTGTATTCACATCTCAAAGAAACCCTGTTAATAGGCAAAGAGTGCTAATATATTGCTGCCCTGTCTCTGCCATTTCAGATTAGATGTGTGCATTTAAATTTAAGTGTTTAAGTAGTGGAAGTTTAAGACATACTAGTGAATTTCCTATTTTTAGACAAATGTAATTAATTGCTCAGCTTTTCTTGGTTGTACTGCCAACTACTACACTCATTTTGTGTAGGATTAACTTTGGTAATGGAGCCAAGAGTGTAATCTGTTGGATTAACAGACACTTGTGTGTGTGTGTGTGTGTGTGTGTGTGTGTGTGTGTGTAAATATCTGCAAATTCTGCACTTGACTCTTTTAAAACAGAATATTTAAATAACTTTCCATGTAGAGTCTTATTATGTGAAGTTATTATATCTATTAGTCACAGTACTGTTAATTTTATAATCCAGGGTCAGGGGTAGTTTTAATTTTCAAGTCAAAATGTCTTTTTATACACCTATTAAAATTATATAGAGAGATGTACAATTATTCTGTTTATTTTTTACATTAAGTTTATGTTTCCTGGAAATAGGTTGAGTTTTAATTAAGAAAATTCCTTATGTGCAATTAATTTTTATTGTGTAGGAACATTATATTCCATTCTCACAGGCATTCAACTTTTCCTACAGGAAATTGAAATGGAATAGAAAGGACTTAGCAACTTTTAATGTACTCTAAGTTGAAACCCAGGTTCAGTGCAAATGCAATTTTGGTAAATGACAATAAACTGGACCATAAATCCAGTGTAGAGTATTATGTTAAAAAACTCTAAGAAATAAGTGATTAATGTATGTTTATAGATTATTTTTATTGTGGTTTATTATTACTCTTTGTAGAAAATTATATAGATGTAGTATATATTGAGATTTAAATGGATAAATATCTTGTGATATTTTAAGAACTTACTAAATATTACATTTTAAATTTTCACATGTCTACTATTCTAATAACAATGGAAATCAGAACATCAGATGAGGGCATACTCAAGTGGTAGAGTACCTGCTAGCAACCACAGGACCCTGAGTTCAAACCCCAATACTGTCCCCCACAGTCACCCATTGATTAATAAGTTAATGACCAAAATTTTAAGTGAAAATTAAAAATACTTGTAAGGCCCGAGATGTAGCATGTCATGCATTCTTGCAATGCCTGAATTAGATCCCGGGACTAATATATACAGAGCTTTATAGAAATATATCATCTGGAAAAGTATGTTCCCAAAGAATACTTCTCCTACAAGTCACAAAATGTATCATTCAACAGTTTCATGGAAAAGTGATTAAAAAGCAATGTTTTTTTTTCCTTTTAAAAAACAGATTTCATTAGGACATTTTCATACAACCATATAATGTGGTTGGATCATATTCACCACCCCATCACCCTGTCTTTCCCCCTTTCCTCTTCCTGTGATCTCTCTAATAATCCTCTCACAAGCAACTCTTAGGAATTTCTGTGAGAAGGAGCTATTACAGTAGTGTTTAAAATTTGGCTTTTGTAGGTTTGATTTTTGTCATTTGCAAAACTTCTTAGACTTCCTGATTCTTCTGAGTATTTGTTTCTGTGGGATATTTCTTCTTTTTTGCAACAAAACAAACAAGCAAACAAAAAACAGTAACAACAACAAACAACAAAAAATTTGTGGACTATAAACCATAGCATTGTCTAGAATTGGCTCCTGCCACCTATTTTCTTACCTTCTTTCTTTCTTTCTTACTACATGCTTTCAGCATTCTTGTCTTTGTTTCTGTTGAACGCTATCCTGGATGCCCACCTTTCTTTCTCCCTTATTCCACAGCCTGTACAACCTTAAAACTTCCTTTAAGAACTAGCCTTCTTCACCCTCATCATTAACTGCATTCACTCAGTAAGGTCACTTTAGCTGTGGTGTCTGTCACACTGTCTTTGACTTACTTATATTGCTGTGCTCTCATGTTGGTACATTTGTATAAAGGTATGCATATATATGTATTTGTATATAGATGTGTAATCATATATTTATATGTAAAGGTAGACATGGACATTTTTTTCCTTCAATATAGTCATAAAAATATATCTGCCTTCCATTCTCTTTCATTCCCACTTGTGAGTAAATTAGACACATTTTCAATGACTCTCCAGGATTTCCATTGAATGAATATTTAAGTCTAAAAGATTCTTTTGTGTTATGAGAGTTATAATTTAGTTGGATTTCATATTAATTAGGACTACCTTGAGAACCTCCTCTATTTTATCACTTATTTTCAATGAGAATAATATCTAAATTCAGATCCACTGATTTATAAACCACTGTAGAGGCACACAGTTTTCACCAAGGGGACATGGCCTAATGCTATCACCCATTGGCTGTGTGCCACCTCGCACAAGTCATTGGCGAAATCTAACCTGAGTTACTCAACAAAGTCAGCAAGTCAGTGCCTTAGGAGGATACTATATCTTATATCAAAATCAATAGAAAAAAAGCTGTATTATAATTTGCAAGTCATTCATTCATTTATTTATCAATTCAGTGTATGCCTATTATGATCACAAGTACTCTAGCAGGAGTGGGAAGGGAAATGCAGGCTGGAATGTCTCTCTCTTTTTTCTACACCCCCCCCCAACAATACATGCATGGAAATATATATATATATATATATATATATATATATATATATACACACACATACAGGCAAAAAATCTATTGCATGCTACTGTAAGTTATCTCTATGCTATTTGTCATTACAAATTTCAGTTTCTTCCGTGTTCTGTGTGTCATCATTCACGTGAATGGTTACAAGCCATTAAAGTAGTCCGTGAGAGCTAGATACTTTTAAGTCTTTGGTAGGTGTTGAATGGGGTCTTGTGGTCCTTTGGAGTGTA